GGAGCTGGTGCACAGGGGCCTCAGGGCCAACCTGGTTTTTACAGATGCTGTCACCGGGAGGTAAAAGCAGGTCCGCAGCTCCGTCATCTTTGACATCCAAGTCCAAGCCACTGGAGATATAGAGCAGAGGGTTCCCTTAAGCTCCCCAGTCACCCCCGAGGGGCGCTGAGAGATCCCAGGACACACGGTTCCACAAATGGACGGCACCTTCGGGCAACCCATCCGTCACTCGGTCAGCTAGGAATGGCATTTGTACCAAGGGCCTTAGAAATTGTTGCCTCGTCCTGTGAGGAGGATCACGGTGTCAGTTTGGAATAGCCGAGGCCTAGAAACGAGGCAATATAGCAACTGGTGGAAGGAGAGATAAGCTAGTTACAGCGTATTTACAAAACTAAAAACTGCCGGTCCCCGCACCCGCTGATGAATTTCATGGCTGCGTCCTGGAGCCACAGTGACTGGAGACGCCACACAAGTGACCCCGCCACGGGAGCGCAAGAGCAGAAAACCCGCCGACGAGAAGGGGCGAGAGAGCCGTGTCCGCTGGGGGGGTGGGGGGCTTAAGGAAAGCCTCTCTCTCCATCTCGATCTGGGGACAGCGAGACGCCCCCTGGGTTTCAACAATGACTGAGCCGCGGACTTGATTTACCCCCGTGGTCGGTAAGCGCTGCTGCGAGACAGCCTGTGAGGACCACAGCCGGCAAAGACCAGTGGTTCTAAGGGTCTCCTTACTTTAAATTAAAATTACATCAGCAGGGGCCTCCCCGGTGGCGCAGCGGTGGAGCGCTGGGCTGCGAGGCTGCCCGCAGCCTCTGCAGCGCCGGCTGGTTCCCCAGCTGCCGGCGAGGGTCCCACAAAAAAAAAAAAAATAATAATGTCAGCATCTCAACTCCCCCCACACTCAGTGCAGAAGGCTCAGGGCAGCAGCCTTCTGCACCTGGGGCATCTCATTCCCAACCAGAGACTCGCCTGGCCGGAAGGGACGCGTCCAACTCCTGCCGGGACAGAGCGAGCTGGGACTTGGAGCCACAGAGGCTGCTGGACCACCAGGCGGGGGCAGGACGCGAGGCTGGCGTTGGCGGGCAAAGGTAACCCCCGGGGCCACCCCCTCCTGCCAGCCTGCTCTGACCACCTCACGACGGGGAACAGCGGTGCTCCGATGCCATTTGTCAGCAGCGGGCATGGCTCCCCTGTTCTCCTAGACAAAGAAAAATTGTCCATGAGTTAAACTAAATATCTTGGCGAGCAGGCCAGGTGCAGGCAGGCGGATGGCGGCGCCGAAGGGCAGAAATTGCCCAGCTCTCGAGCCTCTGCCCTGGGAGGGCCGTGAGGGGCAACTCGGTCTTGTTGGCTCACCCACCCCCGTGGGAGCTGCTGGTGCTGGCGCATGAGGGGGCTTCAGCCCAGCTGTCGTTCAGCGCTGCTGGGGCATCACCAGCCTCCAGCACCATGCGGGCAGCGGGCGAGTATTTGGCAGCTGAGTGACCTGAGCAGCGCCCCCTGGAGCCGGTTGAGTCTGGGCCGTGTCCCTCCACCGCTGCCTGGCACAGGGCGCGCTGCAGTCAGGTGCCCGGCCCACCTCAGACGCGCAGGACGTCAGGCTTCCCCTGGCCGCCACCGTGTTAAAGACAGACATTAGCCCCCTCAGTCCCTGCAGCTCTTTCAAAGAACCCTGCTGGTTCTTTGTCCTCATAAAACCTGAGAAAACATAGAGATTGGGGTGGGCTAGATTGTGGGGTTCCCTGGGGTCACCCTCCTAGTCGTCACCTCTGAGCTCCCCAGAGCCCCTGCCAAACTTCTGCTCTGGAAACTGACCTACAGCTGCAGATCAGCTGATAATGGAACCTAAATTTATTAGTTCATTAACACCAGAAGGTCCATGGTCGGGTATCGGGTTTTAACCTTTACCATCGTGCGTGCATGTGTGTGTGCGTGGGTGTGCGTGTGCGTGTGCGTGTAGAGAGAGAGAAGGATCTAAAGTTAAATGTACACTTATCCGGGGAGGGATTTCCGGTGTCAGCTGGCCGATGAGGGTGCTGTGGTAGAAGGTACTGGAAGGTCTTGGGGCTCTGGTCCCCATTCGAGGCCCCCCTGGGTTTCCACAATCCCCTGGGCCACTGCCTCCTCCTCTGGGCTCCCCTCTCTCCACGGACACCCATGGGAAGTAGCTCGGGCCCTCTCAGGGCGCCTCCTGGCCCTGGTCTCCCCTGGGCCAGGGAACCCCCACTGGCCTCTTCAGCTCACCCTGGAGGAATCGTGCTGGTGGCAGAGGAAGGTGGCCCTCCCTTGGGCATACTGCTGCCCCTGTTACTGCCCTCCTGCGAGGTGTCGGGGTAAGCCCCTGACTTCTCCCACGCAGGACCGGGCCATATGCGTGAGGGGTCAAGTCCAGCTGGCCGCGAGCCTAGGAGAATGTTCGTGTTAGTGACCGTTTATCTGGGCCCCGTCAATCCAGACAGAAGCCGAAGGGCAGGGCGGAGCTGAAGCCTGGCCACCACATTTACAGGGCGCCCAGCCTCCCGCCAAGCCTGGCCCCTCTTCCTGAGACTCTCCCAGACCCGCCCTCCATCGCCCGGGGCCTTCCTGGCCTCTGCAAGGGCCCTGGCGTCTCCTCCGCCCTCGGGGTGGCCGACGACCTCTGGTCTCCTGGGCTGCGTTTCTCCGGCCTGCCAGCACTGTGCTGCTTCCTCCCTTCCTGGAGCCAGGTGCCCCAGGGCCCCACCCTCTCCACACGGGGTGGGGGGGCAGGATTCAGAGTCGGGAGGGGCAGGAACCCCGGGAATCACACAGGCCTAAGAAGGTGGCCTCCCATCTAGAGATGGAAGAGAAATCTCTATCTCCCTCCTCCGCAGGGGCTGGGAGGGCGCTCTGGGTGAAGAGGTGGAGGAAGAAGAAGGAGATCTGTCGGCTGAAGAGAGAGCCTTTCTGGAAGAGTACCCCTTCTTGAGGGAGCAGCTGGAAGATGGCATCAGGAAGCTCCTCGCCCTTGCGGACCAGCTGGACACCACGCACCGGACCCTCACCAGGACCAGCGTGGTGGCCGGCTCCATCGCCGTGGTCTCGGGCGCCATGAGCATCCTGGGGCTGGTCCTCGCCCCTGCCACCGCGGGGGCCAGCCTGATGCTCTCCGCTGCCAGCAAGGGGTTGGAAACAGCAGCCGGGGTCACCAGCATCCTGACCGGCGTTTGGGAGCACGTCCAGCGTCAAGGAGCCCGCGCCCAGGCCAGCAGCCTGCTGCCCAGCCGTGGCCCGGGGGCCAGGGAGGCCGGGGAGAGGGAGGTCTCCTACCTCATGGCTGCCAACAAGCTTGTGTGTAATTACGGCGGCGCCTTCCGGGACATCAAGAAGGACGTCCGCGCCTTGCAGGCAGCCAGAGCCCAGCCGCACCTGGTCGCAGCCGCGCAGAGTCTCCAGGCCGCCGGGCGCCTCTCGGCCCGCAAGAGCAGGCAGGTGCACAGGGCCTTCCAGGGCACGCCGCTGGTGATGACGAGAAACGCCCGCTTGCTGGGCAGCGTGATGACCGGCTTCTCCCTCAGCCTGGACCTGACCGCCCTCCTGAAGGACTGGCAGCATCTGAAGGCGGGAGCAAGGACGGAGCTGGCGGAGGAGCTGAGGGCGCAGGCCGGGGAGCTGGAGGGGCAGCTCAGGGAGCTCGCCCGGCTCCGTGACAGCCTGCGGCAGGGGCGCCGGCTCCCGCGGCGGGGCTGGAGGGAGGGCGAGCTGTCGCTGGGCCCAGGGAAACCAAGGTTTACGGGAGAAAAGGGGTTCAGGGGGCCCCTCCGTGTGTGAAGTTTGCATGCGTGTCTCTGAGGATCTGGGGTGGCCGGTGGCCGCGGGCAGGCCCGCTCGTGCCTGTTTCTCCCTGAGTGCTCTGGGGCCTGTGGGCTGGGCAGAGGCTCTTCCCGTCATGCGGAGGAGGACCCTGAGCCACAGGGAGGAGGAGGAGGGAAACACACCCCCAACCTTCACAGGCCGAAGCTGCGAGCCCCGTGTGACCATTTGGAGATGGGGCCTTTGGGAGGTATTTGGAGTTGGAAGTGGTCCCAGGGGTGGGGCCCTAGTCCCCCAAACGGCTTCTCTCTGCACCGGGGCGCCGTGAGGACGCCTTCTGCCAGCCAGAGTCCTCCCCAGAAAGCGGGTCTGCCGCACTTCCCTCGGGTCAGCCTCCGGAACTTTGAGAAAACGCGCCCTGGGGGTTGAGACAGCAGCCCGTGGTGTCTGTTGTGAGGCCTGCACTAGGACACGGGGCTCTGTCACTGCCCGGGCTGCAGGCGGGTGGCTGCGGGATGGCAGGGGCAGGGAGCCGGCTGCAGTCTGGGCCTGGATCTCCCGGCATGCTGCCCCGAGGCCCCTCTGCCACTTCCCTGCCTTGGGTGCTTTTGTTTCTTTACAGAAACTCTTGCCCCCCAAAAGTCCGATGAGCTCTGCGGAGGAAGCCATGGGGGCTCTGCCTCCGGCCCCGGCCAAGCAGCGGGAAGCAGGCGTGCAGGCGGCTGGAGAGCACCAAGGTGGGCTCAGCCCGGGGCTCTGGGGAGAGGGGGGAGCGCGCCCCCTGGCGGCGGGGCCCCCAAGCTGAAAGAAAGGAAGGACGGTCGAGACCCGCACTGACTGGCCTGGATCAAGTCCCGTG